CAACAGGCGAAGAATCGTTATTTCCACATATTATTTAAAGAAATTAAATTTTCTTCATATGTTAAACCATTGTCTTTTGTTTGTAGTAGCAGTCATCCGAGTCCATCTTGGAGTTTCTCTCTTTAAAGTATACACTTTTCTAACGTTGGAACAACTATAATCTCTACCTCGTATATATATATATATATATATATATATATATATATATATATATATATATAGTTTGACCTTGCCCAAATCATATTACCGTTGATGAGAAATTAAATAAATTGTTTTGCGTTTTACTTATTTACACCCAAAATAAATGGTCATTTTTTAAATACCGTATTATATGACAAATACGTTACCCACCGCCCAACAAACACGCACCATCGCTTTTTTTCAAAAAATATAATTAAAAATAGCATTAGGGATTTTCTATAACTCATAGTTTATGTTGACACAATAGACCACCGCTACTTGTACTTATTCTCATTTCACAACGCTCTAAACTTAAATGTATATGTGACAGGGTTGGGTCTTACATGATGTTATATTCAGTATATATTTAAATATAACCCCTTATTTTGGTGGCAACTTTCGTGATATGTCGTTAGAGCAGGTATTCTTGATTCATTTGAATAACTTTTTTCGTCACTCTCTCCTAGTATATGCTGATCGCGACCCGACAAAGAAGTTATTAGAAATGTATTATTTGGTTAGATTTTGATAAATGAGTCAGAAAGCCTGTCTTTTTCTTTCACATGCGATGTCCTTTCAGGTCCTCAGCGTTCATGGCTTTCCACACCTTCCTGCCTTTTGTTGCGCTATCGATAAAAATACTAGCTTGCAAAACGTTTCCTTACAACAAGTTCTCAACATACTTATCATTCCTATCGGAACAGTCTACCCGCGTATCATCGTTAACATATTTGATAGGTATCGAACTGTGTCGGTCGGGAGAAATATGATCTGTTTTTTTCAGCCCGCCTGAACAAAGGAAAGTAGCCTTAGATTAGTAATAAAACACATCAATATATATTATATTATCTATCTATCTATCTATCTATCTATCTATCTATCTATCTATCTGCAGCTATATCCACCCATAAAAGAATACAAACTAGGTAGTACTGAAAGGTTGTTGTCCCGACGAAGAAGGAATTTTAAAGAAAATAAAAAGTACTGATATTTGATAATTTGGTTAATTTTGAATTAATCGGCACATAACTCGAAGCCTTCAGACTAGAGTTAAACTTTGCCACCAGGACTTTAAAAAGATATTATTGATAAAAATAATACACATCATCATCATCGTCATCATCATCTATTCAGTTAATGCATTTTGCGCAGCTGTAGTCACCAGTTGTTGCCGTGGTCACCAGTTGTTGCCGTGGTCACCAGTTGCCGTGGTCACCAGTTGCCGTGGTCACCAGTTGTTGCCGTCGTCACCAGTTGCCGTGGTCACCAGTTGTTACCGTGGTCACCAGTTGTTACCGTGGTCACCAGTTGCCGTGGTCACCAGTTGTTGCCGTGGTCACCAGTTGCCGTGGCCACCAGTTGCCGTGGTCACCAGTTGTTGCCGTGGTCAGCGGTGAAATTCAAAACAAACTAGTGCAATGGCTTGCCGGTTCCTGTTTCATTGAGGATGTTAAAGTTACCCCGTCCCTCCGCACAGAAGTTACTCCGCCCACTGATAAGGCCGTTGACCTCTGAGACGCAGCACCTCCGTTCAGTCTGGCGATTGCCCAATGGCCACTTGGCACATGTGGGTTGGTGAGAGGCATTCCCCTTCACCGGTCGAGTGATTTGTGGACCCCCATATCATAGACTGGGGGGTGGGGGCGTATCATAGATCCGGGTGGGGACGAAATCCTTGCACCGGCCCTAGCCATAACACACAAACCAGGTATTTCTTTGGGATCTTTTTTTTTTTTAAGCGTTTCAAGGCGAGAACCAGCGAATGCAGCTCCTCGGAGCAATTGCCTGATATCTACTTAGGATCAAGAGTTCTCGCATCTTCTTTTCTACTTTATGTGCCGTGTCCTCGACCAGGACGTAGACGATCATAGCTCTCCACAACTTCATGTCCCTTGTAGCGCTTAATAAACTTTATCTTTCTGTCATTTCTCCTATGCTCTGTTCCGCAATAAATTTAAGTTTGTTATGCGTCGTTTTCCTCTGTTCCTGTTGCTCTCTGCCTGGTGAGTATCAGATTTTCCATGCCCTCCTTCCTCATTATATGCTCCATAAATGTCAACTGTCTCTTCCTAACATTAAATATTAGTTTACTTTTTGTTTCCATTTTCTCCAAAACGTCGTCGTTACTCACATGTTCGGTCCACAGATCCTCAGCATCATTCTGTAGAACAACATTTCTGTTACTTCAAGTCTCCTCCATATCTTTGAGGAGATCATCCAGCACACACTGCTATACAGGAGGACAGATATCACATAGCAGTTTAGTACTCTTTTCTTTGTTTCTAGCGTAATTTTCCGATTTCTTAGTACTCTGTTTAGCTTTTAGAATGCTGTCTGTCCCAATAAGTCTTCGGATTTCAGTGTCACTCCTCTTTTAAAATACTTCCCAGCTATTTAAATTTCTGCTTGATTTTGATACCTCCGATTTGCGATTCGCACTTTAGGCATATCCGTTTGCATTCTATCTTCTTGCAGTTGATTTTTAATCCTTTCTTCTCGCGTTCCTTTGAGTTTTCTTTTTGTGTCTGCTATCGACATTGTGTTATCTGCATGCCTTGTCATGTTAAGATTGTGGCCGCCAGTAGCGAAAACTATAGCAAAAAGTTTAACTTCTAATATTTAACTTCTGTAAATGAATACATATTAAACATTCCAGCGGTTTTTTTCAGTTAATTAATGAAAAATTAATGGCTTAATTAATGAAAAATTAATGGCTTAATTAATGAAAAATTAATGGCTTAATTGCTAATGTAGAAAATAGATCCTTATACACTAAAGTATCTGTTAATAAATTCCTAAGTAATGCTTCAGTCAGTTATGTGCCATGCATGATACACGCTTAGGCGATCATGATACATGACTGACGAGGCAGATTTTTTTCCCGCAGTAGGTTGCAGTTTCTTTCTGCGGTAGACCAGTTGCCATCTAAGGCTATAGAACCCGGTCTCTCCTGCTATTTTTACATAGCTGGGGGTAAAGAATAGGATTCATACCTTCCCCAAGGATCGAACCCATTACGTAATGTAATGAATTCGACTGGAATTCGAACTCGGCTCCTCAATTCCATTACTCTACTGTGCCTCTTTTGTTAACGAATGCTTAGTGGAATAATAAAATCATTAACCTCTATCTACCGATAGATAAAATTATAAGGATATAACTCAATGTTATTTCGTTTTAATAATTTTTATAGACAAAAAGTTTTACTATCAAAGTGTTCGCATCTTAGTGGTGTATTAGTATGTCTTTTCTTTAAATATTCATGTGCGTATATGTGACGTGATTATATATTTCATGATAAGTGTTTATATTTCAACACAGAAGAACCTGTGAAGAAAAGTAAATAAAAATAAAGAATTAAATTTACAGATTAAACAGCCAAAAAATTCTGTTTTATTTTAGCGATAGCTTAACTGAAGGCTCAAAAACACCGTGTAGCGCCAGAGAAAAGAACGGAAAGAAGAGCCAAGTTCTATATCTCACGATCACACACAATGACACACACTATATACCCAGCCTAGATCTCTTTCGAATGCTGATTACAAAAGCAGAAAATCACTTAAAAGAATTGCACAACAGAATCCAAGTTACACTTAGGCCGAACGATTTATGTCAAACCGGATTAAACCGCGGTTTCTCCTACAAAGGTGCTCGCAGGATTGAACCCTACCAGAGAGAATTCATTCTTTATTAAGATTTCTTGAGTACGCCGGCCGATAGATGTAATATAAACTGTTTATAAAAAAAAAACAAAAAAAAAAAAAAAACAGGAAGTCTATTTCAAATACGGGTATACGCTAAAAACACTTGTGAAGCAATATATATTGGATTAAAATGAATAAAATTTTATCATTTAGCTGAATGTCACTTAATTGATATATATATATATATATATATATATATATATATATATATATAGGATAGTGAACAGTTGACTCTAGACTTCACACGAACCTGTTTTGCATTGTAATCCTTTTGCAGTGAATATTACATTAAGAACATATATATATATATATATATATATATATATAGGAAATGGATTAAATCCGATATTTTTTTTTAAAAATTTGTTTTAAATCTTATGGGGATGGTTGTGTGGGTATTGTGATTTATTTCCAAAATTTATTGTTCTGCCGCATGTCAACTAAGTAAAAAGTATCAAAATATTTTTGTCATCCAATTTTTATATAAGCATATATGGATATTTAGTATATATATATATATATATATATATATATATATATATGATCCCATAAGTTCTGTCTGTTTAATAAAACTATTTAAATACGTAAACAAAAAAAAATAACAATACAAACATGAATCTTGGACAGTTTATCCACAATTATGATCCAAATGCTCAACACCTTACTCGAAAATTAGACAAATACAATAAATAATTAAACAGTCAGATCTTGTCTGTTCCTTTTAATTAAACATCTTTGACTGAATGCTTACTGCCTAAATATACATCATATATATATGTGTATGTGTGTGTGCTTGTGTGTGTGTGTGTGTAAAACCAATAAAGGCTGGCTATAAATAATTACTATGACCGAGTGTCCTCTGCTTCTTAAAGTCTAGTCTACCCCGGTTACCTTATCTGCGAAGCAACTTTTTAACAAAAGAATGAAGTCAAGAGTAGGGGAAAGGCTTTAAAGGAAGCACTGCATATAAACATATGTTTATCTCTCTCTTCCCCAGGTGAGCAGACAAAAGAGAAGACTAAACACATCATACGGCCGGCTGGATGTTTTGAATCAGATAGAAATTAAAAGGGGAACGCACGTGTCTTGTAAACAAGGCCTTTTAGTCGTCAATGGTCAAAAATCCAACAGAGTATAAAATAGGCTGTAATGGCTGTAGTAAGTATTTGTGGCTGGGTAAGTAGAAGATTTGTGGGGAGACACAGTAAAGGCGGTATTGGGATTTGGCAGACTGAGAGGAGGCGTTTGGTAGGCGCGAAAAGGTAGAATGTTGGAGAGAAAGAAACGTTCATATTGGAAATAGAGAAAATGATTGAGGTGGTAAAAGAGAGAGAGAGAGAATGCGAAGGTAGGGGAAAAGATGAAAGGAAATGAATAAGGGAGGGGTAGAAAGTAATTCAAATGTTCAGAGAGAGAGAGAGAGAGAGAGAGAAAAGAGAAATAGGTAATAAAGAAGGAAAGAAATACGAAGAAATCAATCAAGAAAGGGAAAATGACAGAAATTTGAGAGTGACGGAAAGAGAGAACAAGTAGATATAGAAGGGAGCAGACAGAAGAGACAGAGGGAGAGATGAGGAAGAAAAGAGAGGGATGAGGGAGAGAAGGAAGGAAGGAAGGAAGGAAGGAAGGAAGGAAGGAAGGAAGGAAGGAAGGAAGGAAGGGAAAGCAGAGTGGGGGGTGAGAGGAAAACGTGAGGAGATACGTGAGAGGAGGTTGGAGTGAAGAGGGAGGAAGAAAGAAAGAAAGAAAGAAAGAAAGAAAGAAAGAAAGAAAGAAAGAAAGAAAGAAAGAAAGAATGGAACAGAGAGAAGAGAGGGATGAGGGAGAGAAGTAAGGGAGGAAAGATAGAAAGAAGAGAGCAGAGGAAGGTGGGAGAGAAAGAAGGGAGCAGAGGGAGGAGGGAGAAAAATAGAAAGAAAGAATAAGAATGGAAGGAAACAGAATGAAACTGAAAAAAGTGAGACAAAAAAAATAGGAAAATTAAAAATGAGGGAATGAGATAGAGAAAGAATAAAAATGATAGAGAGGAGGGATATATATATATATATATATATATATATATATATATATATAGACATTTTATGTTTATACATTCTTTTTATAGATACAAATATTTAAGTAAATGCTCTGTTTGTAATAAACAGTATTAAGCAACATTTACCGGCCTGAATGTCCGAGATATTTTCATAGAAAATATTCGTCCTCCGACAGGATTCGAACCTGTATCCTATACGGAACCGTCATGTGGATAGTAAGTATTAACTTATGCTGCTTATATTATACACAATGTGGATAATATAAATATTCTTTATATATGTTTGTTTTATTTATGTTCATATAGGTTTATGTTAAAGTCCTAACGAATCAATATAACTGAATATTTTTTGATTTCCAAAGAACATTGTTGTGCTCCGATATGTCAGCTAAATAAAACATAAATAATATACAAATAATTTTTGTCATCCACTTTTTGTATATATAATAATAGATAGCTATAGATATAGATATATTCTCATATGTATGTTATATTACTTGCACATCTAGTCTTTTCTCTCTTTCTTTTACGAGCAGTCTGTCTGTCTGTCTCTCTCTCCCTCCTATCCTCTTTTTCTAAACGTTGATACAGCCATCTTGTTTCTTTTACTTTTCTTTTTAATTTTATAATTCCTACTCGAATCCTATTTTTTATCCGTGGGTTAATTTCTTCATTTCTCCCTTACTTCGTTGACGAGGTTTGAAAAAAAGAAAGAAAGAAACAAGTGAAATCATGAAGTAATAAAGAAAGAAAGAAAAAAAAGAAAGAAAGAAAGGAAGAAAGAAAGAAAGAAAAAAAAGAAAGAAAGGAAGGAAGAAAGAAAGAAAAAAAAGAAAGAAAGAAAGGAAGGAAGAAAAAGAAAAAAAAGAAAGGAAGGAAGGAAGAAAGAAAGAAAGAAAGAAAGAAAGAAAGAAAAAATGAAATCATGGAAAAGTAAGAAAGGAGTAAAATCATGAACAAGAAAGGAATAAAAAAAGAAACAAAGAAAGAAAACAATGACATGACTCAATTCTTTAACTATCTGCAATAGCAACGATGACGATAGATGTAACATCAACGAAGAAGCTACAGGCGGGAAGAAGTGACGTAAGGCAAGAAAGAAAGAAAGAAAGAAAGAAAGAAAGAAAGAAAGAAAGAATGATTAAATAACATGCAATATGGTGGAAGAAATTGGCGAAAGAAGTAATGCAAATACTTTTGTAAAAAAGAAAGAAGAAAAAAGAAAAACAAACAAAACGCACACAGAAAATGAGAAGGAAATAAATCAAATCTGCTAGAGAGAAAAAAATTAATGAAAACATAGTGGCAATGGGCAAAGGGGACTTTAAAACGCACATTGGTATCTACAGACAGAGAGAAAGAAAAAAGACAAAATAAAAGACGCCTGAATCTCGCTGTAAGGCATGAGTAATGCTGATTCACCACGTTTTCCTATTGGCTGCTTTCATTGTTTTAGGCGTTAACTTTCCTTTAAAATGCGTAAAGCATGCTGTGAAGGGAAACTGAAAACGAGGCTCAATCCATTTAAGCATTATCGCCTTACACGTCTTTTTTTCCGCAAGTAAAATGAATTGTTTGGGCAGATTAGAAAAACATGGTGACAAGTTAACGTCTATGGGAATGTCCGTCTGATTAATGACATTTTGACTCTATTTACTCGCATGATTATCATGCCTTGCCAAGATGGAAATATATTCTTAAGTCATCATTAACCTTTAAGAGAAAATTGAATTATGCCTGCAAAAAGAATAGACAAATATAATGGCTAAATTGGGAGGGTAGTATGTCTTCTTGTTTACTGGACCCGATTTATGAAGCTTGTTTTCTGTCATTCCACCTGCGATTTTAGAAAAGTCGTAATGTAATGCTTATTCTTTGTTCTGGTTGGATCATAGAAGGAGAGGCGATGTATTTGTCCGAATCACACAGATACACACACACACACACACACACACACACACACACACACACACACACACACACACACACACACACACACACACACACTCTCTCTCTCTTTTCTTCTCTCTCTCTCATACACACACACACTCACATACACATTCACTCATTCACAGGCACAGACACACATACTCACACGCACACGTTCACGCAACCACACTCACGCAAACACGCACATACACGCTCTCTCTTTCACACACGCACACTCACTCACACACACACACGCACTCACACACTCTCACACACACTCACATACACACACACTCGCACATACACACACACACGCACACACACTCACACACTCTCACACACACTCACACACACACACACACACTCGCACACACACACACACACACACACACACACACACACACACACACACACACACACACACACACACACACACACACATAAACAAATAGGTAATTGAGTCTATTGGATTTTTCATGAGCGTTCTGAAACATTTTTTTTATTAAGACTTTTGATTGCCCAGACTGGTAGATGTCAATTACACTGTTTAAAAATTCAAGTACATGTATCTATTAAATGTAACGTTTATAGTTATGGGGTATGTATATACGAGGGTGGTATGAAAAGGTCATAGGCTGACTATGAAAGGGCAATGCTAGCGCTGTGAAATCTTGTATGCATGAATTTGAATTCCTCTTATTAATAACTGCATTGTTTCTTTCCAGATAAAGTCACAACTGACTGTTCGAAGAAGACTGTTCATCCTGTTGGTGAAAAAAAAAATCATCAACTGCAGATATGACGTCATCATCACTGCATTACTGATTTCCAGCCAGGTGTGCTTTTTTTTTGTTTTGTTTTTATATTAAGGGACAAATGATAATCAAATCAGGAGAATAGGGAGGGTAATCAACCAATTCAAAGTCACAATCATACATAGCAGCCATTGAAACCAAGGTCTTGTGTTCTGGAGCATTGTCCCGATGAAACACGACCACTTTCCTCAGGTAAAAAGATTGCTAAAAGATTATAACAAAGAAGAAATCAAGAAAACGGAATAATAATAATAATAATAATAATTAGAAAAGAGCGCAATTTCAGAAAAGAAAAAGAAAAGAAAAGAAAAGAAAAAGAAAAGAAAAGAAAAAGAAAAGAAAAGACAATGTTTAACATTATTTTGACAGTATGTCTTTCTTCTCCAAGTTACATTTATAAAGGGTTGAAAGGTCATTGGATTCTGGATATTTTTTCAGAATGTGTACCTTAAGATGCTTGTCAAAAAAATATGCAGAATTCACCGACCTTTCAACCTTTACAAGGCATGAATATACCGGGTGTAAGAGAAAAATTATTGAAATCGTTTAACAGTATGAGATAATTATCCATCCCACAAAATGATTAATATCTAAAAAACGCTAAATTAATTGAGTTTAATTAAGTAAGAAGTTTAGCCATATTGACGCCATTTTCGTAAGAATCACTGAAAAATCCTTTGAGTTGTTCAGTTAAAAAAAGAACAGTTTAAAATCGTTTTGTGTCAGACCCACCGTTTTTGCAAATGAGCAATGTTGAGAGGAAAAAGATCATTCAAACCTTCAGTAATGGTACCAAAATTCATACTTTGTCTTCTATCTTCAAATTCAATTCAAGAACTATCAAGAGAACGGTGAATAAGTTTTAAAAAGAGGGAACAGTAGAGAGGAAAACTGAACCAGAAAGTCACAACAGGAAGAGGGATCAGCCATCATAACTTGGAACTAAAGAGTTCAATTAGAAAAGATCCAACTTTTGTACGTAAGAGAGGAGTTTCAGCTATGACAGTCCAAAACGCAGTGAAAAAAGACTTGAAAATGAAATCGTAAGTGAAACCTATGAGGCAACATCTTACTCCAGCACAAAAGGTTGTAAGGTTAGAGAGGACGAAGATCATCTTGAATAAGTTGGAAAATGGTCCTGGAATAATATATATAATTTGAATTTAATTTCAATATTCAAGAGAATTCCAGTAAAGTACCTTTAATCATTTCTAAGATACAACGGTTCAAAGCTTAATCTAACAAATACACACTTTTGGTTTTACACGATTTGGACAATTTTGCTGTGACACCAGGTATTTACATATGCAAATCACTAACGTCCCACTACCGGGAGGATGACCAAAATTACACGAGAGTTCCATCAGATTTATACTAAACTGTTTGTTTAATTACTCTTATTAATTAATCAACTAAGGAGAAATTTCAAAATGAGCACGAGCAACATCATGTTACTCACGTTTCAGTTCCTTTCCATTCACGCTGGTTGCGTTTCAGTGGTTATGGCACGTTCATTATCGGTACGATCATTTTTTTCTCAAAACAAGCGACGTTTGTACAAAGACTTGTATTTTTTTTATATTGTATGCAATTTTTAAACATAACTTGAAGAAGACAGGCATACTGTCGAAACATTGTTAAACACTATGTATTTTACTTTATTTTTATTTTCTAAGTATTGCAATATACTCGAAAAGTTACGTCTTTTGTTAAATAATAATAATAATAATAATAGACTATTGATTATCTGATATGACACTGCGCTTCACTAGCACTAAACGGCTTTTTAAACATGCACGTTAGAGATGGGCAAAGTCTCCAATAAAATCCCATACAGAAAAATGTCATGTGCGATGATCTGCACCATTCTCGAAGCGGATGGCGTTACTTAACTCTAGGAAATCACTATACACACCGACTGTACTATTCAACTAACAAACCAGTCATACTCCCCAAAATATATACCCCACCCGTAATATATAACCCTCTAAAAAAACAAACAAATGCTACCGTATGGAAGTGATCAAACAGTCCGAAAGAAAGGTTTCTTTGAAAGAATTAGATAAAGTCTTTGAAAGTTTGTGAAAATAGAAATACAAAGAGAATGCGGTACTTAAACTCAATCATTAGTTATATGAAGACTAGGAATAATTATGAAGAATAGTGATAGACATATATTAAGAAATCTAAGTAAAGGCATTTTTTATATGAAATATAAATGATTGTTTTAATGAGTAAAGCTCATACAGAAAAATCTTTCAGTAACTACTAAAGGCATGAATCTATCTTCTCCCTCTAGTTATGGATTCATTAGTAGGACTTGTATCAAGAAAAATCATTGTTATTCTAAAAAAATGTTCTTAATGCAATATTCACTGCAGAAAGGATTACAATGCAAAACAGGTTCGTGTGAAGTCTAGAGTCAACCGTTCACTATCCTATATATATATATATATATATATATATATATATATACTTTAAAAATTAGGAGATTAGTTCAATCCGCGACCTTGGTTTCAAACACTTACGGGTATCCTCAGGTGATTTTATCAATTGACCTCCCAACGCCGTACATGTCAGTTTTATTTTTTTTTACACACGTACATTGAGCACTATTTAATACTACTGTTTCCTGGTCTGAGTCGATTCTGACCATTAACCATTTATGTATTTTTATATATATATATATATATATATATATATATATATATATATATATATATATATATATATATATATATAAGTGATGGCTGTAAATGCTACCTATAAATATATATATATATATATATATATATATATATATATATATATATATATATATATATATATATATATATATCAGCTTATTTGTCTATCTATCTATCTGAATCTGTTCCCAAATCTGATAAAATTTCTGCATTCAATTAGGTCATTATCTCTTCTCTTTCCACAGATATTTCAATATCTTTTTTTCCGAATACAATTTATAAATGATTACCCCATTTTATTAGCTGTTTTGTTTCACACGAAAATATTCCCTCCTTTCTCAAAGGTAGCATTTACTGCCAACACTGATACTGTCCAGACTAACTTGATAATCCGGGACTAATTAAGTAAAAGATAAAAATATATGTTTGGGTGTGTCTTTCGAAATTCGGCATGACCAATCGTATAGAACGGGAGATGTACCATAACCTATAGTAC